CCAGCACTGCATAAGTCAGGTATGATGGGATAAGCCTGTCACCCCAGCACTCTGTAGGTGAAGGCAGGAATTCAAGATCATCTTGGACTACATAGAAAGTTTGAGGCCAGCCTGGGCTACATGAGACCTTGTCTCAAAAAATAAAAATTAATTAGGGACTGGAGAGATGACTCCAAAGTTAACAGCACTGGCTGGTCTTACAGAGGACCTGGGTTTGGTTCCCAGCACCCATATGGCAACTCACAACCATCTGTAACTCCAGTTACAGAGGACCCCACACCATCTTCTGGCTTCTGCAGGTACTACATGACAAGTTACAGCTCCAAAGTCTAGGCTAAGTCAGGATGCTTAGTACATTGCAGTTTTGTCTGGATTCTGTGCAATTTTTTAAAATTAATTGGGATGAATTTCATGTGGACTATTAGCAAAGTTGTAGGTCTTTGAAAACATATTTATGTTTTATTTTATTTATGTGTGTCTGTGTGTGGGTATGTGCACATGAGTGTGTGTGCCCATAGAGGCCAGAAGAGGGAGTCAGAGCCCCTGGAGTTAGAATTACATGGCATGTCATCATGTGTGTGCTGGGAATCAAACCTAGTCCTCTGTAAGAGCAGCCAGTGCTCTTAACTGCTGAGCTCCAGTTGAAGGTTTTTTTTTTTTTTCCCAAAGTTTTAAAATTTATTTTTATTTTATGGGCATGAGTGTTTTGCCTACATGTATGTAAGTGTACCATGTTCATGCAATGCCCTAAAAGGTCAAGTGAGGGCATTGGATACCCTGAAACTGTAGTTACCAACAGTTGTGAGCCACCACATGAGTGTTGGGAAGTGAATCCAGGTCCTCTGCAAAAGCAGCCAGTGCTCTTAACTGCTGAGCCATCTCCCCAGCCCATGGTTGTAGGTTTTTAAATGAAGGTCTGTATTTACAAATTGAGCAGTGTTCCAAAGCGTACATATTTTTAAATTTATATCAGTAGTATGATGGTATATAGCTTTTATTGTTATTTATTATAAGTTCTTATTTACATAAACGAAAATTCACCCACCTCTAGTGCTCACTCTGATCAATCTTGGGCATCAGATCACCTCCCTATCACAACTTACGATAGTCCCTCCCTCCCCTGACCACAGTCCTTAAACAGTCTTGAGTCCCTTTTGCAAAACGCCCCTCCTTACCCTGGTCCTAGGGCAACTGCCGACCTGCTTTCTGGTTCTATGTTTTTATGTGACATTCAAGGCATCCCAGTCAGAGTCTTGTCTTTTGATGGCGTTATTCTGCTGGACCACCCTTTCCCACTTCGTGTACCCATCTGTTCAGCAAATAATAATGCCACCATTGGCAGGGGAATATTGGGATGCATCTGAGCATGACGGTGTCTCTCTTAGCTCTGCTGTGTTTAGTTTGAGAGGCTCGGATCCTAGAAATTCAACAGCCATCAAAGCCACCTAAAGCCAGAGACTTTCAGATGTCTGTCTTGTGAATGCAAAGTGAGTGCTGGGAATTGAACTCGGGTCCTCTACAAGAGCAATCTGCATTTATTTATTTATTTGTTTATTTATTTATTTATTTATTTATTTATTTATTTCAGGGCCTTGCATATGCTAGACAGGCACTCTGCCATGGAGCTGTATCCCCAGTCCCCATTCCCTTCCACTAAGCTCTTTACCACTTTGCCTTTGTGTCCACGCCAGCTTTTTAAAATATTCTATTTATTATTTTTATCTTATGTGTATGAGTGTACTGTCTGTATGTTTGTAAGTGCACCTGTGTTGTGCAGAGCTGGCAGAGGCCAGAAGAAGGTGTTGGATTCCCTGGAACTGGAGTTACTGATAGTTGCTAGTCGCCATAGGGTGCTGGGAACCAAACCTGGGTCTTCTGCAAGAGCAGCCAGTGCTCTGAAATGCTGAGCCATCTCTCCAGCCCCTGTAGCACCAGCTGGCCTTGAACTCACTATGTAGACCATGCTGGCCTTGAACTCATGGAGATCTGCCTGCCTCTGCCTCCTAAGTGTTGAGATCAAATGCTTTATGGAAAACTATCAATACTGCCATAGTCAGGTGGGAGATAACAGGGTTTCAGGATCTTTGAACTAGGATTCACGTACAAAACCTGAAATAATGTGGCTGGAGAGATGGCTCAGTGGTTAAGAGCACTGGCTGCTCTGGCAGAGGACCTGGGTTCAATTCCCAGCACCCACATGGCAGCTAACAACTGTCCATAACTCCAGTTCCAGGGGATCCTATGCCCTCTTCTCACTTCCACGGGCATTGCACGACACAGGTGCACTTACATACATGCAGGCAACATACTCATATACATAAAAAAATAATAATATTTTTAAGAAAAGAGCACTGGCTGCTCTTGCAGAGGACCAAGGTTCGGTTCTCAGAACCCATATGGTGGCTAACGACCATCTGTAACTCCAGTTCCAGAAGATCCAACACCTCAGCTATTTCTGACCTCCACGGGCATTGCACAACATGGGTACACTTACATACATGCAGGCAACATACTGATACACATAAAATAAAAATAATAAATAAAATATTAAAGAACCTTGAAATGTAGCAAACTCGGGCATGGTGGTGCCTTTAATCCCAGCACCCAGGAGAAAGAGGCAGGCTCTCCTGTGATGGAGGCCAGCTTGGTCTAAATAACAAGTTCCAGGCCAACTGGGGCTATGGGGAGACTGTCTCAAACAGAGACAATGACAAAACTCAAAACAGAAGCCAGGTGCCGTGGATGCACGCTTGGAATCCCAGCACTTGGGAGGCCGAGGAAGGAGGATGGCTGAAAATTGATTTCAAGACTGGCCTGGACTACATGGTGATAGCAGATTTCACAAAAAGAAAAGAAAAATACATACACGATCTCCCACGTTCCCTCTGTCCCCACATCACTGCTCTCAGGTCTTCTCTTGGTCGTGGAACAGATGAACTCTAGGACTTGTACAAAAAGATTCCTCATGTTGAGGAACTACTTCCGTCAGACTGGCTTGTGGCCATGTCTGTGGGGCATTCTTGATTGCTAACTGATGTAGGCGGGCCCAGCCCACTGTCGGCGGTGCCATCCCTGGGCACATGAGCCTGGGCTATGTAAGAGGGGTAGCTGAGCATGTCAAGGGGAGCAAGCCAGGCCTCCTCCATGGTCTCTGCTTTAGTTCAGGCCTCCAGGCTCCTGCCTTGACCTCTTGCCTGACAGTCCCTCAAAGATGGACTGTGCCTTGGAAGTGTGAGCTAAACAAACCTTTTCCTCCCCAAGTTGATCTTGGCTGACATGTTTATCACAGCAATAGAAACAGAACTAGGACACGGCTCTTGCAGAGAACCTGGGTTCAGTTCTCAGCACCCACAACAGGCAGTTCACAACTGCCTGCAACTCCACTTCCAGGGGATCTGAAACCCCTATGTGCACACACCTACACACAGACACATGCATACATATAACTGAAAAGAAAGTGAATCTTAAAAAAAAAAGCTCCTTTCATCCTTCTGATATTTAACCACACATCACCTCCTCCAGGAAGTCCTCACATTACCCCATTTGAAACAGCCTTCCCATAATCCCTGAGTGCAAACTCTGTCCATGTCCTTATGATCACTCAGATCACTGCAGCCTGAAGCTACCCAGAGTTACTGCTCAGCTGGGGGTCTGACACACTGTTCAAAGCCAAAGCTTGGCACACATACAGAGAAACACACATAGAGACACATAAACACACATATACACACACTCATATACATACCCAGCCACACAGACATACACACACACACACACACACACACACACACACACACACACACACTTCTAGAGACTTCCAAAACTCACCTTAACATTGTTATCATTGTCTGCCTGTGAGTGTCTGTATGTGTGTATGTATGTGTCGCCAATCCACGTACCATGGCATCCATGTGGAGGTCAGAGGACAACTTGCAGGAGTCACTTCTCTCCTTCCAGCATGTGGGACGGGGATCAAATGCAGGTGGTCAGGCTTGGCAGCAAGCGCCTTGACCCACTGAGCCATCTCACTGGCCACTACAATTGTTATTTTAAAGCAGGGCTTAGCTCAGGCTGGCTTGGAACTCATCCTCTTGCCTCAGTCTCCCACGTGCTGGGACAACAGACATGCCCCTCAACCTTGGAGCTCGCCCCAGTTTACAAAGCAGCCCAGCCTTCCTGTGGCTTAGGCCACCAGGACTGCCTCAGACTCCACTGTTCCTCCCACGCTGTGCCCTCTCCAACCCACTCCGATTCAGCATGGACTTTTTTTCTTTTCTGTTTTTGCTCATTTGGTTTTTTAGAGTTGGGATCTCACTGCACAGCCCTGGCTAGCCTGGAACTCCCTAGTTAGACCAGGCTGGCCTTGAACTTGAAAAGATCCACCTGCCTCTACCACCCAAGTTCTGGGATTAAAGATGTGTGCTACTGCACCTGGCCTCTTCTGATGTTTCTGAGCTAGTGTCTCACATGGCCCAGGCTGGCCTCAAACTCACTGTGTAGCCAAGGATGACCCTGAACTCCTGATCTTTCTGCCTCCACCTCCCAAATGCTCCAACAGTGGGTGTGTGGCACCTACACACCCACACGGTTCAGCGTGAACTTCTGTCCAATTCACTGCTTATTACCTGTGTCTAAAACAGTGCCTACCCATGAAAGGTACTGATATTTATTAAACGAATTTGTATTTACAAGCAACCCCGGAGAGTGCATGCAAGTGGTCAGCACCAGATACATATCTGGAAGCTTCAGATTTGAAGGAGATATTTTACAAGGAGCTGTACAGTAACGGTGGTGAGTCTTTGTCACTTTGTCACTGCGCCTTGAAGATAAGTTATGAGCCCATTTTAAAGGCAAGAGAGCAGACACTTAAGCGTGGGGGTCATCCTAGCACTCTGCACAGTGAGGCAGGAGGATGGCCACTTCCAGGTCAATCCTGGCTGGCAAACACGACCATGTCTCAAACAAAACAAAATAAACAAAACAAAAAAGGAAGCAGGAGACGCTGTGCTTCATGACTTGTTCTAAGCAGAGCTAGCGTTAGCGGATGGGAGAAGGGGGCATAGAAATGGTGTAAATGAAGACATGGGGTATCACATAAGGGTGTCCATGGGGAAAATAAAGGGAGATGATACAAAACAGGATGGGGGGTGGTAAGATACGGAAGCCCTTTGGGAAACGGAATCCGGTGACTGTAAGGACCAACGAGCTGTGGGTCTACAGCGAGGAAGCGAACGGAGAGAGGAGCAGAGGCGCAGTGTGGACAGGGACTGGCATGGTAGAATAAGGGGTGCAGGTTGGGTCAGGGTGTCTGGGAGACTGAGCACAATGTGAAAATGAGCTGTGCCGAGGGTCTGGAGGAACCGTGACTAATCACCCTGGAGTGCACAGGATATGGCATGGGAGTCTAGAACCTTCTTGAATATAAAATACAGAGTGTTGGCAGGGGCAAATATTTGGAGGGTTCCAGGATTCTGTCAGTGATGCTCCATTCACAGAATGTTACTGGGATGGGCTCAGGAAGGGACTGAGGTGGGCACGGTTGGGCTGTGCCCATGTCAATCCAAGTGATGCTGTAGCTGGGGAACGGAGTGTTGTCTGGGTTGGAACACTCAAGGCAGCCACATGGTCAGTGGTTGAAACAGGATACTGCTGCCAGTATGGGTCAGGCATTTAGGAGAGTGAATACGGGCTGGTTCTAAGGGTCACTGGGGGTGGAGGGGACAGAGAAGGGAGGAGAACACTGTGGGGGGTCTAGTGGGGGGCAGATGGATGAACCCAGCTCTTATGGTGTGCCCTTTGTCCATCTCTGCTCCGAGGTGTTTCTGATGGTCTCTCGGATCCAACGGAGGTACTTTGAGACTCTGGTGTAGACGCCAGGTCGGTTTGGCTGTCCACATGGGAAATCGCCCCATGAGATGATGCCGTAGAGCTTGTGGTTGCAGACCAGCGGGCCTCCAGAGTCACCCTGGGTTGGGGGATAGAAAGGGGCTCTTGAGGAGGCGGAACAGAAGGCAGAGATAGGAAATGGTGAAGGGTGGGCAGAGACAGATGGAAAGTCAGAGAGATGGAGAGAGAGAGAGATGGAGAGGTGGAGATTCAGGAAGATGAAGAGATGGGGGTAAGTCAGAGGGATGGAGAGTTAAGGAGATGGGAGAGTCAGAGAGATGAACAGTCTTTGACATGGAGAGTTAGGGAGAGCCAGACATGGGGAGATGGGGAGTCAGGGATGGAGAGATGGTGGTGGAGAGATGGAAAGTCAGAGAGATACAGAGATGGAGAGCCAAGGAGATGAACAGTCTTGGACATGGAGAGTTAGGAAGCTGGAGAGGCAAAGAGATGGAGAGATGGAGAGCCAGGGATAGGGAGATGGAGAGTCTGGGCAGTGTCTCACCTCGCAGGAGTCCTTCCCACCCTCCTTGGTTCCAGCGCAGAGCATGTTGGCAGTGATCTTCCCAGGGTACACCTGGCGGCACTCCTCATCTGAGCGCAGTTCAATGTTGGCGCACTGCAGAGTTTTGGGGTAATTCACTGGGAAGGAGAGAGATGGTCTGAGGCTTGTTCTGGACGTTAAAGAGAGCAGCTTGCAACTTGAGATGGAATGAGAAAGATCGGGGAGGTGAGCTGAAAGAGGTGAGGAGGCCGAGAGATGCATAGTCATGGGAGGTGGGAGGAGAGGAGGGGGTGATGGGAGGGTCGGAGCGGGGAAGGTGGGAGGAGAGGAGGGAGGGCCGGACCAGGGGAGGTGGGAGGAGAGGAGGGGGTGATGGGAGGGCCGGAGCAGGGGGAGCCAGGGATGGGAACAGACAGAGGCCTGGAGGGTGAGGTTGGGGAGACGGTTCAGAAGGTGAAGCCCTTGCCAAGCAAGTGTGTGGACACGCCAGGAGGGTCTGCTGCCATGCGCAATTCAAGGCTTGGAAGGTGGAAGAAGGGATTCCCAGAGCCAGCTGGCAAGGAAGACTAGCCGTATCAGTGAGCTCTGGGTTTGATTGAGGCACCTTGCCTCAATGCTTGAGGTGGAGGATGATTCCAGACATAACCTTGAGCCTCCACATGTATGCACAACTACACATACATGCACCCACACTTATGAAAGCATGCATACACACATGTAACCACATGCATGCACCCCACACATGTGGATACAAATACACACATGCAAGCATGCAGGCACACATACACACATGCAACAGCACATACAGGCACCCACACATGCAAACACACATACACACATGTATGCCACATTCACACACCCATGCTCACACAAGCATTCACACATGCATGTATACCACATACATGCACCCACACTCATGAAACACGCACACACATGTCACACACATGCATGCACATGTATACCCCACACCTGTATCCACATATGGAAGCAGGCACACACATGTATGCACCCACACGCATGCAAGCACACACGCATGCCACATATGTGTACCCACACGTGCAAACATTCACACACATGTATGCCACATACACACCCAAACATGCAAGCATGCGTGTACATGTGTGCCACATAATGCACCCACACACATGAAAACATATACACACACAGGAAAATGTAAAACAAAAGGAGATTGGGAGAGTGGGGGAAACTGGAGACATCTTGCTGTGTTACATTACTCTGATATAGTCATGGGTGTAAAACATACCTAAAGAATGCACTTAGTATGATATGTCCATTAAAATATGAATGCATTTTGTAAGTTACAGATACATAAATAGTAAATGCACTTGTTACAATAAATATACAATGATTGTGAAGAACGGACTCCTGCAGGCTGACTTCTGACCTCCACACATGTCCAGTGGCACACTCCCTCCACCCCCAACACAAACATGTACAAATAAATAAGTTTAATGAAAGTAATATATACTAGGGGCTGGAGAGATGGCTAAGCATTTATGAACTTTTTCTGCTCTTGCTGAGGACCCGAGTCCTTGTGTCTGGCAGCTCACATCTGCCTGTAACTCCACCTCCATGGGATTCAATGTCCCGTTCTTCACTGCACACACATGCACAAACCCACACACACATATAATTTAAAATAATATACATATCTTAAGGCCGGGTGTGGCAGTGCCCTCCTTTAATCCCAGCATTTGGGAGGCAGAGGCAGGTGGATGTCTGAGTTCGAGGCCAGCCTGGTCTACATAGTGAGTTCCAGGCCAGCCAGAGCCCCACAGTGAGACACTGTCTCAAAATAAAAATAAAAACAAACATTTATATTAGATGATAGACTTGTGTTTTATGTATTCATAAATTTGCAAGATTAATATAGACACATCCCTCCATTATGTATTCTTATATCTCTATTTTTATTTTTATTTCCTTTTCATTTTAATTTTATGTATATGAGTGTTTTGCATGCATGTATGTAAGTTCATCCCTGCATGTGATGCCTGAAGAAGTCAGAAGAGGCCATCGGATCCCTTGAAACTGGAGTTATGGATGGTTGTGAACAGCCACGTGGGTGCTGGGAACTGAACCTGGGTCCTCTGCAAGAACAGCCAGTGCTCTAACCACTTAGCCATCTCTCCAACCCCCATACTTATAGTTTTATAAAGGGCCCTAGGACTGTGGAGATGGCTCAGAGGGTAAAAGTGCTTGCCCCGAGGACTGACAACCTGAATTTGATCCCTGGACCACAAAGGTGGAGAAAGGATGGCCTGATGCAATTTGTCCTCTGATCTCCACTCCAGTCCCATGGCCTGACTCCAGCCACACATGCAAAATAAATAAACAAAAATCAAGTGTACATGGAATCCTCTCCTGACTTCCCCCATCCATTCCCACCTCAGTTTCCCCAGTCACCACTGAGTGTAGGCACCTACCCTGGGGGCTGGTGGTGGTGCCCCAGCCAGACACCCGACAGCAGGTGCCAGGGGGCAGGCAGTCATCCTGGGAGAGGGGCAGGGTGCGAACGTGGCTGTTGAGCTGGACCGGGGACTCCAACTCCAGGAGCATGATGTCATGGTCATGGTTCAGGTGAGTGGGGCTGACCTGGTATTCAGGGTGGGGAATAGAGTGGACGACCTCCCTCACCTGCTCGCCGCTCTCCAGGCGCCCCAGGGCATGCTTGCCCAGGTGAACCCTGTACCCTCTGTGGGTGCAGGAAGGGGTGGTTAGGAGAGAGAGGATGAGCCCGTGTCTGTCCCCACCTCAGCCCGTCTCTTCCCTACCCCACACTCGCCACCCCACATACTCTTTTCTGCAGTGCGCAGCTGTGAGTATCCACTTTGGGTCGACCAGGACACCCCCACAGAGGAGCCGCCCCTGCACCAGTAGGGCTGCCTGCCAGGGCTGAGAGTGAGGCACACAGGTGTAGCCGCCTGGGAGAAATCCATGGGTCCCATTGGTCCCATTGAGAATCTTGGGATAGTCCTGGGAGATGCCTGGTGGAGAAGGGAAACTAAGAAAATGATTGAGACTGAGGAGGGAGGGCGGGGGAGGGAGAAGGGAAAATAGAGAGAGAGGGGGAGAGGGGAAGAGCTGCAGTTCTGGGCTTGGAGAAAGGGTCAGATGATTGTTCTAGCTCACCAGGAACTGACTGTTCCATTCACACCCCATCGACCTATACATCATCCATCCATTCACTCACCCACCAATCTACCTATCCATCCACCCACCTATCAATCTATGTATTCATTCATCTACCCAATCATCCATCTATCCATCCACCCATCTATCCATGCATTAGTCCTCTATCCACCTACCCATGTATCCATCCACCCACCTCTCAATCCATGCAGAGATCCATCCATCCACTTATTCATCTATGTATTCATCCATTTGCCCATCCACTCATCCTTCTATCCACCTACCCATGTATTCATCCATCCACCCATCTATCCATCCATCATCCACTCATCTACCCACCCATCCATCCACCCATCTATCCATTCATCACCCATCCAACCATCTCCTATCATCCATCCATCCATCCATCCATCATCTACCATCCATCCACCCATCTATCTATCCATCACCTACCCATCCATCACCTATCCATTCATCATCTACCCATCCATCCAACCATCTATTCATCCACCACCCATCCATCCACCCATCCATCTATCCACCATCCATCCATCATCTATCCACCATCCATCCATCTACCCATTCATCATCCATCCGTCATCCATTCATCACCCATCCATCCCTTCAACACACATTTACTGGTTGTTTCTCCAGATCTACACACTACCCACAGGTGACTACTCCCAAATTCACATCTCCAGCCCTGAACTCTTCAGCTGGAAGATTGAACATTATCAACCTGAACGCCTTATACATCTTTAAGTCTGTATCTCCAAGTTGATTTTTCTCAACTAACTGTTTCTTCCAGTCTTTCCCACCCTGGTGCTCAGCCCAGACCTGGGAATCATCTCCCCTACACATCTTCCCTTTGTCACTCGAAACAAAGTCTATCGATTTTGTCTCCCAAATATCCATTAACCAACTCCCTGCCATCATTTTGGACCAAGTTCTGCTTGAATGATCCACCAGCATCCAAAGCGCTTTGTGTTTTTGCAATCCAGTCTTCCCAATGTAGCCTAAGGAGTCTTCAAATAAGGAATATTAGACCATGTTGTGCCAAGTCTTAACCTCCCTTATAATAAAATCCATTGGGGCTGGGGAGACGGCAAAGTCATTAAGTTCAGTTCAACTGTCACATCTGCAGCTAGGCTTTCCGAGGCTCTCTCTCTCTCTCTCTCTCTCTCTCTCTCTCTCTCTCTCTCTCTCTCCTCCCTCTTACCCCTTCCCCTCTCTCCTTTTCTCTCTGCCCCCATTTTCCTTTCTCTCTTCCTTTCCCTCCCTCCCTCTCTCCTCTCTTCTCCTTCCCTCCTTCACCCTCTCTCTCTTCTCTCTCTTCCTCCCTGCTTCCCTTCACCCTGACTGACAGCTGTCATCTTAACCACTCTGTTCAAGCCCCATCCCTCAGACTCAGTACAGCATATGGCATGGAGACGTAGCCGTGGACAGTGGAACGGACTCCAGTCCCGATTGGGCTGCTTTCTTACCATGAAATCTCTTACAGATTACCAGCCTCAGCTTCCCCAGCTGTCAAATAGGAAGAGCACAGTCCTTTCTCCATATCTGTGGAAAGCTGGACCCCACAGGTACCAAAATTCAGGCACGTAGGAGCCCCTTAGACAAAGTCAGCACAGTGTTTACATGTAACCTCTGCTCATCCTCCCACCTCATTAAATCATCCGGATGACTTACAATATCTAATAAAATCCAAATGCTATATAAACAGTTATATTGTATTGTTCAGGGAATGGTGCCAAGGGAAAAAAACAGCCCATACATGCTCAATACTGACAAGACTGCTTTTCTGTTTCCTCCGAATCATTGTTGAATCCTTGGATAGGGAGCTGTGGATGTGGGTGGATGGCTGTACCAGCTCCTCCTGCAGGTGTGGGATTCAGCGAGGTGCCACCTTTGAATGTCTAGCCTGCATCAGAGCAAGCACTGAAGAAACATCTCACTAATTCTTTGCTACGATGGGATTCCTCTTGTCCCCTGGACCAATTTCCTATCCACGTGCCTCGTCACTGCTCCCACGGTTCTAAGAGTTAGAGATAGGAACCACAGAGGGACAGAGGGCTTAGGAAGGATATGAAAGGACATGAAATTAGGAGGTGGAGACAAGAGGACTAGAAATTCAAGGTCATCCTTGGCTGTGCAGCAAACTTAAGGCCAGCCTGGGCTGCATGAGACTGCCTCAAAAAAATCAAACAAGCCAGGCATGGTGGTACATGCTTTTAATCCCAGCACTTGGGAGGCAGAGGCAGGTGGAGCTCTGAGATTGAGGCCAGCCTGGTCTACATAGCAAGTTCCAGGCCAGTCTGTGCTAGTGAGACCTTGTGTCAAAAAAATAAAACCCTCAAAATAAATAAATAAATAGCCAGGTATGGTGGCACCTGCCTTTAATTCCAGTACTCAGGAGACAGAACCAGGCAGAGCTCCATGAGTTTGAGGCCAGCCTGATCTACACAGTGAGTTCCAGGCCAGCCAGGGCTACACAGTGAGACCCTGTCTCAAACAAATAATAAATAAATAAATAAATAAATAAATAAATAAATAAATAAATAAATAAATAATTCAGAAGCTGAGTCAAGGTCCAGTTCTCTTTCAACTCAGAATATGCCAAGTGTAAAAGGCTCATGAATAAGCTGCTTGGATTTAAGCTCTGTATCACGGAGCTCCCCGTTAGAAATAGAAGAGGTAAAAACCTTCTCCAGGCACCTGAGGTTTATGATGCTCAACTATCTGTAATAGTTATTTGAGAGAGGCCGAAAATCATCAATTAACGGTGGCAAAGGCCTGGTATCCATCTCCTCGGGGAGGCAAACCCAGGAGGATCGCAAGTTCAAGGCCACTCTTGGCAACTTAGTGAGGCTGTTCTGATATAAAAGGTAAAAAGAGGCCTGGGGGTGTAGGTTAATGGTAAAGCACCTGCTTCACATTCATGAGGCCCTGAGATTAATCGCTGTGGTGGGGAGGAGTGAAGAGAGACAGAGAGATATAGAGAGATGAAGAAAACATGTATCCTCAACTTGAGGTAATCCAGTCAATAATCAGTTGTTTGGTTTTCATTACACAAGATTTGTATTTTTACCCTTCTATGTATAGCCAAGTAGGCTGCAAAATTCAGGATAAGGATGTAATGGTTTGCAGTCCTGGAGATTGATCCTAAGGCCTCATTCATGCCAGGCAGGCACTCTGCCCCTAAGCTGTACTGCTAATGGTCCATAAACATTTTTTTAAATTTTGCTTTTGTTTCAGTTAGGAGCAAAACCAAGCTAGGCATGGTAACACACGGCTTTAATCCCAGAACTCAGGAGGCAGGCAGATTTCTGTGAGTTTGAGGCCAGTCCGGTCTACATAGTGAGTTCCAGGACAGCCAGAGCTATATAGTGAGATCCTGTCTGAAACAAAACAAAACAAAACAAAACCCAAAAACTAAAAGACAGGGGCTGGAGAAATGGTTCAGTGATTAAGAGCACTGACTGTTCTTGCAGAAGACCTGGCTACAGTTCTCAGTATCCACATGGCAGCTAACAACTAACCATCTGTAACTCTAGTTCCAGGGAAATCCAACATCCTCTTCTAACCTCCACAGGCATTGCACAACATGGGTGCACTTACACACATGCAGGCAATACACTCATACACTAAAATAAAAATAATAAATAAAATATTAAAAAAAATAAAACCCAAACAACAACAAAAATCCCAGGCATGGTGGCACACCCCTGTGATCCCAGAACTCAGGAGGTGGAGGCAGGACAATCAGGAGTTCAAGGTCATCCTCAGATACACAGTGAGTTTGAGACCAGCCTGGGCTGTGGGAGACCCTGTCCCAAACAGACAAACAAAAAAGGCCAGCAAAATAGTTCAGTGGGTAAAGGTGCTTGCCACGAGCCTGATGGCCTGAGTTCAAACCTGGGGACCCACATGGTGGAAGGAGAGAACTGAGTCCTGCAAATTGGTCTCTGACCTACACCACACACACACACACACACACACACACACACACACACACACACACTATAAACATGCAATAACAGAACAACAGAATAAGACGAAAGGGCAGACTTTAAGAAGCCCAATAGGGCAGAAGTTACACAGGCCCTCCAGCCCAGAGCACGACAGAGCAGTACACGGTGGACAGCCTGGATTACCATCCTGACTCAGAGTGGCAGAGCTTTTGGAGCAGGGTCCTTCTGTCCTTGAGTCTTGGGAGTGGTTCCAGCACACCTACCTCATTGGGCTCCACAAGACGCAGCATGTGGGGCTCCTGGCCCTAGGCAAGGAACCAGGAGGGACCAGGGTGTTGAGTCCTGGGAGTGGCAGAGAACAGAGCAACCACCCTGCCAGAGGCTGGTGCTGGGTGCCAGGTGCTGTGGACTCTCCTCCAAGGCAGAGCAAAGCCCTTTGGGAGGTCTTCCCCTTGGGAGGCCTCCATTACAGGTCCCAGCAGCCAGTAAGCTCCACCTCATCTCATAGTGGTAATTAATGATTAACTAATTATTTGGGTATTTATTTAAATCATGTCTGCACAACATCCCCAGCTAGGCTGTGGGTGCCGGGGGCAGGGACTGTGTCTCTGCCTGCACAGAGACCTTCACACAGTGCCTGGTGTTCATTCCTAGTGAAAGGAATGAATGGATGGGTGAATGAAGGATACATGGGATTTCTAGAAAGTAGGCCTGGCAGGGCAGACAAAGGGGCTGGGGATGTGGCTCAGTTGACAGAGGGCTTGCCTAGGCTTCACAAAGCTCTGGGTTCCATCCCCAGGACCATAAAAAACAGTCATGGTGGTCCACACCCGTCATCCTGGTACTTGGGAGGTGGAGGATGGAGGATCAAGTGTTCAAAGCCATCATTGACTACATCTTGAGTTTGAGGCCAGCCTGGGCTACATGAGACCTTGTCTTTAAAAACCACATACAAAACCACTTTAAAAAAATTACTGGGCTGGAGAAATGGCTCAGCGGTTAGGAGCACCGGCTGCTCTTGCAGAGGACCTGGGTTTGATTCCCAGCACCCACATGGTGGCTAACAACCATCTGTAACTCCAGTTCCAGGGGATCCGACGCTCTGTTCTTGACTCTTCAGGCATTGCATGATACGGGTGCACTTACATACATGCAGGCAATACACACGCATACACTTTTAAAATCACAACTTTCACAACCCACAGGGCATTACCCTCTTTTCTTATCCCAACAATCCAGAAAACGACTTTAGACACAAGGACTCTAAATCTTGCTCAAAGTAGCACATGTCAGCGCTTGAACCCCGGTCCTTCTGCGCGGCAATGACTCTTTGAATGTCGGAGAGCAGCAGGAGCTAAGAAGGAGGTGTGGAGCAGTCTGAGTTGGAACATCTTCTCTAGGGTGGGAGGTGGTGGGGGAATGGGGTCAGAGGCGAAGGCAGTGGGGTCATTAGGCTGACCGTAGTGGAGAAATCAAGGCACACAAGGACAAGCAAGAAGTTATTGGGTTGTCCTCCCTGGCCCCGAGTGGGCGGGGGGCGGAGCGTGCGGGTCCCACGCCCCCTCCCCACGGCCTGTCCCCTCTGCTGCCAGGGGCGGCCACCCGGGTACCTGCGTGCGTGCTTGCTTACCTCTGGACAAGGCCACGGTCAGGCAAGCGACGGCAGCCGCCAGGGCCCACATGGTAGTTCGGGGATGAGGGGGAGCAGGGCGGCCAGGGGCCTGGATGGAGAAGTTGGAGTCGGGATTTGCAGAGCAGGCCTGGAACCCCAGGTCTGAAATCCGCTCCTCTCTTATGCACTCTAAAAGCACTGAGTCTGGAATCTTCCCCTCCCCTAACTGCATCCAGGGTAAGAGGGGACGGGGCGGGGGGGGGGGGTGCTCCAGCAACCCCCATCCCCACTTCATCCCTGGAGCGCACCGAAGTGCATCCTCTGGCCTCATTCACCTGGCCCCAGACCCCGGGTCTCCTCCCGCGAGTTTCTACTCTTTCCGCATCTTTGCAAGTTTCTGTCGGCACCAGCGCCTCATGCTGACTCAGCTGCGCTGAGCCTGCATCATCCCCCTTCCCATCCCTCCTCCTTCCCCGCCTCCCTGTCCCTTTCCACTGCCCCCTCCCCAGGCCTCTGTCTCCCACCCCACCCACTCAGCGACCCTACCTCAGTGAGGGGCCCGCGGTGGAGAACTTCAGGCGCCTGCAGCCTAGAACTTCAGCTCCGACCCATGGCTTTTAACCCCTGAACTCCCTCCTCCAACGTGCTCACCATTTCCCGGTGTTGGCTCCCCCCTCTCCACCCCCAGTGGCTCAGATGGCTGTGGACAAGGCACCCCCTTAGCCTGGGCTCTGCCCTCTGCTTGGGGGCGGAGCTTCTAGGACAAGCTGCGACCCACATCTGGCCCCGCCCAAGCCAGAGTTGAACCCACTATGAACTTTCGAGTGACAGGACCAGACCACAGAAAAGGGAAAAGCCCACCCTCCTTCCCAGACTCCATCCGGTTTCCATCCAATTTCCTAACCTCTTCCCCAACACCCCCGCCCCCCGCATAGTCTTGTCAGCTCCCACATCGCCACTGCTGCACCTTCTGGAATCTCGACCACCGCCCCCCTTAACCACGCAGGTCACCCCAGCCTGGCCCACAACCCCAGTTCCTTTACTAGCGGCGGCCCAAGTTTATCACGGCATCAAACCAGCACCGCCAAGTTTCCGAGTGAGAATCTCACCTCCAGCCCTTTTTCCTTCTGAAATTCAAGAAGATGAGCGCTGGTGCTGCATCACCCCCTCCCCTAGACACTGCACTACAGTATCGAGTACCCTTTGGATTTGCACCGGGCAGAGACGGGGGCCTGGGAAAGCACTTTGGATTAACCAGCCTTTTGGGGACCAGAGTGGATGGGGCGAGGGAGTGCATTGGTGTGGGTGGAGAGAGGGCTCCTGGGGATGGGATGGGGGTGGGGAAGAGGAAGGAGGAAGGGGTGGTGATTTGGGAATGTGTAGGCGGCTTCTGGGACTGGGCTTGGGTGGCACCCAGTGAGTTAATCCCAGGGGCTGGATGGGGTAGGATTAGGGATTGAGAAGAACAGAGGTGGGGTCAGAATTTGGAAACAAGCCAAGGATGGGGATCAGGTGAAGTTTGGAAAGAGAGTTAGAAGCCATGATGTCACTAAGACAGCAGGGTGGATGCATAAGTGTTCAAGGAGAAAACTGGTGCTGTCCAGACTTTGGGGGGGGCGGTTAAGGTTTGGATGTAGGGATCAAAGTTCAGATGGTGCAGGGCTAAGCCATGTCCCCAGTGGCTCATTCATTAGAGTGCTCTTCTGCAAAGCCCCGAGTCCCATCCCCAGCACTACATAAAACTGTGGAGCACACCTGTCATCCCAAAACTCAAGAGGTGGAGGCAGGAGGATCAGGAGTTCAAGGGCAACCTTTGCTACATAAGGACTTCAAAGCCAGTGAGGACTAAAAAACAAAAACAAAACAAAGAAAAAAAAATTAGATAGAACCGAAGCCTGTAGGCAAGAATAAATCTAATGTGAATTTCTAAATTGATACAAAATGGTTTATTAGCACAGGGATGTGTTAGCAGTTGTACTTAAGCTGGCGAATTCATTTTGTGAATCCTTGTGGTTTTCCACAAGGATTATTTTGTATCAATATCAGCTATCCACAGTTTAAAGTTACAAAATAACAGCAAGAGGCCATGGCCTGTGGCCAAGTTCTGTCATGCTAGCTACCAAGAAGCCTGAGGCAGGAGGATGGAAAGTCTAAGGCCAGCCTGGTCTATAGAGTGAGTTCACAGCCAGTCTATGCAATTTAACAAGACTCTGTTCCAAAATACAGCTGGGGGTGTGGTTCAGAGGTAGGACCTCTGCCTAGAAACCCCAGTGAGGGGCTGGGGTGTGGCTCAGTGGTAGAGCCCCTGCCTAGAGTCCCCCAGTGAGGGGCTGGGGTGTGGCTCAGCAGTAGAGCCCCTGCCTAGAGTCCCCCAGTGAGGGGCTGGGGTGTGGCTCAGTGGTAGAGCCCCTGTTGCTCGAAGTTGTCAAGAAATAGGTCAAAGACCATAAAACAGATGCAGAGATTTTACAGGATCAGATTTTCCTCTATCCAGTTTTCCACTGAAGAACCTGTTGAGTCTATTTTAGAACACTTCACTGGAAAGAGAAGTTTGGTTTAACTTGGTAATTGAAGAGGATTGCCATTAGGGTTCCTGTGGCTTTGAGGGTTGGGTTGTAGGTAGGAGCAACAGGGAACTAGTGCTAATGGGTTCTGTTGGGTTGAGGTGGGTTAAGAGATGGGATGGAGGAATGTGGAGATGGCTGGGGTTATGGGTGAATACGGGGATGGGAACCAGACACCAGCTGAGTGTCTATGTTGGGGTAGGAGTTGGTGGGGGCTGGGTCTCAGCCTTGAGTTCCTGTTAAGGTGACTGAAAGGCCAGTGTCCCTCCCCACCTTGGACTTCCTCCACCTCCCTGGGGCAGGGCTCGGAGTGGGTGCCCAGCTCATCCCTTTCTTGCAGAGCCAGGTTCAGGTGGGGTGACAGGGGGAGGGTGCCAGGTGAAGTGAGGTGAGAGCTTGTGTAGGAAGTAGGGTACCTGTGCCCTCCTGTGGCCCCTGCCTATGCTTCCAGAAAAGCTTTCTCACTTGGGAGGGGCTTGAACCTGGAGTGGGGGTGGCTGGTGTTGGCATCTGCTGAGGGGTGAGTGTCAGGTCAAATGTTGATCAAGGTTATCATTGGCTGGGACTCAGGTTGGCCTACTCATGTGAGGTCACGGACCCACCAAAGGGCTGGGTACCATCCACCCCCTCACTTCATTAACAAGGCAACTAGGAGCCCATGGTTGACATTCACAGGCGGACTGAACCAGATCCAGCTCTCTCATCTCACAGACCTCTGTCTCTCCTCCTATGGACAGCCATTCTGGAGGAGGAAGAAACGATTAGAAGAAAAGTCAGTGTTCCTAGGAATTCGGAGCTTGGGTCCTTTACACAAATTGTCCGAGTTCAGGTGAGGTGGTCGCTCTGTGCCTCAGTGTCCCTGTTTGCAAAGTGGCACTGTTCACAGCGCCTACCTCATAGAGAAGAGTTAAGTGGATGAGGATATAGAGGTGTTTAGAAGAAAGCTTGGCATGGACCGTGGGTCACAGTGTGCTTGTTACCGATGCAGAACTGGAGATGAAGGCGGCCTAGGGTTTCCAGAGGAGGCCCCACCCAGCTTGGCTTCAAAATGGGATTCTTTGTGAAGTAGGAACTGGAAGTTCTGGTTGGAAGTGTTGGCTGGGGCAAGAAAGTCTGCCCCACACCCAGGCCCTGGTGTAAACACGAAGGGACCGACCGAGAGACTGGAAAAGACACAGAGGAAGAAGGGACAGAGTGACTAACGCAGAGACCCACAACCGGCCAACACGCAGAGATCAAGAGGCAGCAGAGCTCCCATCCCTGAATAGGACAGCAGCTATTTCAGTTCAAACCTCTGCCCCCCAAGACTAGGGACCATTGCAGAAGAGGAGGCAGAAAGATCATAAGAGCCAGAGGTGGGGGAGGACCACAAGGAACAGAGTTTTCTAGACAGCTGGGCAGTTACTCAAATGAGCTCACAGTCACGGTGACAGCATGCACAAGTCCTATGTACGCTCAAGCCAGACAAAACCCCAGCATAGCCATGGGGAAGTGGGTAAGAAATTTTGGCAACCAATGGCTGCTGGGAGAGAGAGAGACAGTCTCTTTCAAGGATGAGATTCTCAGTAGGCTAACCAGGCTCCAGTGGATGGACCCACACAAAAGGGCATTTGGGGACACAAATTAGTCTCTATAGGCCTTTTACACACACACACACACACACACACACACGTATCATAGAGTACATTAAATTGGACATGGACAATAAAGGGAGGTATGGACAGGGGAGGGAAATATAAATATTGTCAAAATATGTTTATGAAATTGTAAAAGTTCAATTTAAAAAACTATTAAAGGAAAAAATGCAGTTACAAATATGAAGATGAGTCAGCGTTGCTGGTGGATCAGAGCTGGGTTTTAAATAGACTGCCTGAGTTCAGGTGAGATCAGTACATATAGACGTAGAAAACCAAAGTGGGTGAGACAGGGCAGACACAGAGAAGACAGAAAGAAACGCTAAACACCCAGAAAATAGTGGACTCTTGGGGGCTCTGGAATGCCCTGAAGAATCCTTGGTGTTAAAACTATTGAGTTCAAATGCCAGGTGTGGTGACGCATGTCTTTAATCCCAGCCCTCAGGAGGCAGAGGCAGAGGCAGGAGGATCTCTGTGAGTTCAAGGCCAGCTTGGTGTATATAGCGAGTTCCAGGCCAGCTGGGGCTACAGGAGACCCTGTCTCAAAAA